AACATTGAATAATATCTAGGCGACTGCTTGCTTTGAAAGACACGCTCGCAAATAACTTAACATCCAGCTCTTGTATCCAGCCATAACGCCTATATATGAGAATGATAGAAGTGTTGATCATGTAATCACACGTAGCAATGGTCATAACAATCGTAAAGCCTCCTCGCAATATCAGAAATGGGAATATCTGCTCAAAAGGATAGGATCAGGGGAGAAATGAAGGGAGAGGTGGATGTATGGGAAAGTACCAACAAATAAATCATGGTTTTCCTTCACCTTTCACCGAAGAGGATGTGCATTTGTTGGAAAACACAGGGAGCTCGAATTTCCGACCGATATAGGTGAATATTTCCGCCATCGATTCCTTCTCAACCATGCCGTCTGCGAAGTTGTCAAAGGCTGTGCGGAGGATGAACATAACTCGTGATATCAGACAGCCCGGGATGTTTTGGGTGTAGTATTTCATGCTGCGGCAAATGTTGCACGCGTACTGATATCGTTCCTGGAGTCCGAGGACGCTGACTAGTCCCGGGTCGGTGGTGGAGATGATCAGGCCCAAGGCCCAGTAGAAGGTCATTGATGTCGCTAGAAGCAGGTCCGGGTACATGATGTTTTGTCCCACTATTATTTGCATTGTGCTGGGGTTGCGACACCTGAATTTAGGGAAGTCGTCGGTTGGGTCTGCTTCGCTTGGACTTTCCTCCCATAGCCCGCCTGACGGGTATGTATCGGCATACATGTTCTTCCATACTTGGAGAAGACCTTGAAGTTCGGTGGCCCGTTCCCAAATGGCACTCTGCATGTTGACTAGCTCTGATGGAGGCTTGTTCCCCCCTTTTAGTAGCGCCGAGAACTCATCAACTTGGGCAAGATATCCGGGGATATGCACTGCAACATCCAGCAGGCGTTGGAGGATGTCCTTGGCCGGTCCGTCCCCAGGCCATGGGACTGTCAACCAATCTTTTTCCGCAAGGAAAGTAGGCTTCCGATGTACCAAGGCTGCCGTGACCTGGCCAGTTTGTCAGAGTCGTTTCTAGAAATAATGATGAAGGTTTATCTTACCCAATACATCCGAAGGTCAACATACAAAGAGCGCTCAATGCCATGTCGATGTCGATATGGTGTTCGAGTCCGTAAAAGTTCCAAACCACCCAGCTGATGCTTGAGAAGTGAGTCTTTTGACGTTTGCTTGAAAGCCTATTCCAACATTAGCGAGGGATTGCGCAAGCAACAATCAATACTCACTTCTATGATAGTAGCTAGGAGAACGACGACAAGGACCTCGGTCGACTTGCCCTGCTGAGGGTCATACAAAGCATGTTGAAGGGAGCGCAAAACTCGGAGGTAACGCGAGTGTCCAGCTACCTCGACTGAGCGGTTTCCATCGCGCCGGCCAGCGAATGTGAGAGATGCTGCTTCAAAAGCACTGCACAGAATCGGCGAAAAGACTCGCAAGGACCGAGCTTCACGTAAAGCGATGGTGCCGCTGACTTGGGTGGGACTGAAATCAGTGACCAAGCGTTCAACATAAAATTCAATTAATGCGTTAGCTAGATTGGGATCAGTAAGGATAACTTTCTCTTTCAACAACGGTGGAGAGGAGGAACGACCTGGACCCTGGTGAGCGAAAGGGATATGCAAAGGTCGGGGAGGGTATGATAACCACGTACTTTCTTTACGTGTACGTTGCTCCTCCAGCACTACTGCGTTGGGTGAGGCCAAAGACTGATTGTCTGCGGCCTTGGAAGAAAGGTCCAGTTCGTCCAATGAGTCGTCCCCATCGTCAACCGAGTTGTCCGACTCCTTGATGGAGTAGAGCGCCTGGCTGCTCGGTAGCGATCCGTCTTCATCCTTGATGGCGGGAAGGTTGGCGAGTTGGCGAGCTTCGGCAAGCTGCTGTTTCAGATTCTCACAGGAGCGAAGAAGGTTCTCGATTAAAGCCGACTGCTGGATGTAATGGCGGTCCCGCTTGCTGGTGCCGTATTCGCACTCGGACGGTGTACCGCGGAGGCAGCAGGCACCGCACGGCTTTACTCGGTCGCACTGTCAAGTCGCGCGTTAGTCAGGAGGGCACGACACCACGATGGTGAGACCTGCTCGGCATTTAAGACGGCTCCTAGCCCCCAAAGCACGCGCCGCGAACAATGGGTATTGATTTCAAAGACAACCATACCTTGACTTTGCGTTTATGGCAGTTTAAGCACGAGTATGTGGGTCGGATCTTCTTTCGAGAGCCCGCTTTGGCAGCTCCCGAAGCCTCAGGTGGATTGTTTCTGGCGCCATCCCCAGAAGACATCTCGTTTACTCGCGTCCTGCTCGGCGTCGTTCAGAAAATAGCGGGCTACTGAATGGTTTGGTCTGACAGGGCGGGGAAGGGAAATCGTCGCTTGGCCCTGGAACACTGATCGTGTTGCTGTCAGGCAGAGAGAGATACTTATGCGAACAGGAACAGGAAAGATTGTTGGTGGTCGAACAAAGTCTATTGTGACACTCATTAAAACTGGGGGGGTCTCTGGATTTGACTCGTAGCTCCGGCTAGTAAGGATCATAGAGACACACTTGAGTGGTGGCTTACACCAGGAGGATGACGATGTTCAGAGACCATCGCTTTCGCGGGCGACTCTTGTGCACCTTAATTCCGACCTGTCTTGGTTCCGAATGATCCTAGACCGTGGCTCCTTGAACGCTAATTTCATGCCGGCCTGTCAGATTTCATGCTAGGGTCCTGTCGGCTGTCCGCCTTTTATTTGTGACCGCGCGGATAAGGCAGAGGCGCACTCCGTCCTTCCGTACCTCTCACTCAGCTGAACGCCCGCCGGGGTTTGGTCCTCCTGGTTCTTTCCTGGTCCTTATGTTCCCGCTCTCCACTATTGGTGCAGGGGGCTATAGTGGAGGTCGCAACAACAACCAGACCAAACGGATGATGATGCGATAACGGACGTTGCACCAGAATATCCTTGTGACCTATCACCCCATCCAAAACAGAAAGAAAATAATCTACTCCGTACCGCGCGCGAGTGATCAATTGAGCAACCAAAGTCTCTCGCCACGCTCCTCGGTATTTCGGTACACAGCGATGTACCGGACAGAAGGCTCCAGACGTGTCCTGGCTGCCTAGGCTTGTGTGATATGGCTAAAGCAAATGCAGGATCGTTGAGGCGGGAGACATTGGGGGACCTAAAGGGGCGAGGAAAGACAACCCCCTCTCAAGCAGTTGGGGAATCTTGCAGGGATCGGCGGTTTTAGCGTCGTGCGACAGGCTCGAAAAGCGGTGGTGATGCTTCGCTTTCCGGTTGGTGCGATCGGGGCTGGGGATGGACAGCAGCTGCATGGCCAGTCGAAAATGCAATACTATGGGGTAGGAGAGCTGCCCAGTATCCCTGCTGGATGACTCTATAATATTTCCATCTGATGCGTCTAAGCCGGTTCATCAACAAACGGCGTAGAGCTTCGCAGAGGCAAGACTAAGAAGCGACAGAAACCCTGTCAGCAAGCGATCCAGCGCCTTTGGCCACGCAGACTAGTCCTAGTGCCGCGCTTATGTATGTCTTGCGCGAAGGGAAAAAGAAAAAAGGCACCACGAAGAAGCGGAACAGAAAAAAGAAGCAAAGAAAAAGGCGGACCAGATAATCACCAAGACAGCAAGGGTATGAACCAGACAACTAACACACTGTAACTACTGATGTCTCTCCTTGCAGAGATTCTTGAACTCTTCACGCATTCGATCGTCATGGGAAACGTTTTTCTTGCTTATGACAGACCGTCCAGCATTTCCCTTTCCCTTCCACGGGATATTGGCAGGGAGAGAAAAAGCGCGCACTATAAAATCTCGCTTATAGTCTTTTCCCGATGTTGATTCGTGGTTTCCTTCGGCCGGAATAGCCAGCAATTTCGGACTTTTCTCATCCCTGTCGATGGAAGTCTTCGGCAAAGGAATGAAACCATTTCTAATGCATGCATAGGATGATATGATCGGGAAAGGAGTCGAGAGGCAGAATGGGTTGACGGAGCGGAAAAGAGGCGAGGATGAGATAATTGAAGTCACCTGCTCTCGCCGTCTCTTTCCACTTCCTACTCTCTCCGTCTCCGCCATCCGGAATATGACGCGCGCAGTATTCAGAAACGGAAAAGACAGCCAATAGCGAATTCGTGATCTCTATATCCTGACGTAGTCAGAGTGGTATACCAGACTCGAGATCGTATTGCGATATCTCCATACTGCGGTTGTCCGTCATGCCCTTCTGATCACCGATCCTGCCCGTCTACGGACAATGGCAAAGAGGACAGTCAGAACTAACGAGATAAGAGTACAGTAACTCCAACGCCATTCTCTTCCAAGGAGAGGTTCAGAGCGAAATTTTTTGTTGATGACAGATACTTAGCAGGTTTAACGATCCTGCTACCGGCCGACGGTCTCATTGCCGAGAAACATTGAAAGTAATAGTTGAATAATATACAGTGTACCTCTCATAGTGCTGCTCTATACTATGAGACCATATAAACTCGATATTTTGCGAGGCACCAAAGCGCTCCCTAAAGGCTTTCAACAGTCAGACCTGTCATCTCTGAGCCTTCCATGCTGGAATGGTAAAGACGCCAGGAAGTAAGATTCGTGTCGACATTCATGTCTAACCATCTCCATGACATCAGAACTACCTACTACCTACTTTTCGCTTTTCCCCTTATTTATACTTGACAAAACTAAGTACTCAAGGAGGAATTGGGAGGGAGTAGGAAGGGAGAACCTGGAAGGAAAATAGCACTAATCCGGGGATGGCATGATCGCAACCGAGCAGCTGGCTAAACACCCTGTTGTCGATAAACACAAAGATATCTCCTGAGCTCTTTCGAACTTCGTCATCTACCCCGGTCACTACCGATTCGTTTCCTCCACTTACCCGACCAGATTCAGTCTGGACAACCCACCAGGCCTTCTTTGGAATTGCTTGCTTATCATCATTACCTTCCATCTGAATGTGCTCTGATTGTTTCAGTCATCTTGCTCCCACATGAGTCGCCATAGCAAGTACATCGAGTCAATGACTCATGCTCATTGGGTGCCATCAGAGTGATGCCGTTGTCTTCAACCTTGTCCATTCGGCTATTTAAAGAGTCGATATCGATCTACTCCAGTGAGGTCTTCTATAATTCAGGTGTCAGAATTCTCATGCTCATGCTGATCCTAACGTCTTCAAATTGGCCCTGCATAGAGTCGCTTTATCTAGCCCAGAGACAAGTAACGGTACTGATCTACAGCCGGCTTGGTCGTCTCCATCAGTCATCGCTTCTCGGGGAACCTCTTCAGATTCCGGGCAGTGAAAATGTTTGGTAATCGAGGGAGGCTATAATCATCCCGGGAGTGGATATACTGTCTACGGTAGACACTCGGGGGCCAACACTTGACAGGGACTCACAAGTCCTCAAAAGAAGGGCGCCAGATAGTCCACCACGCTACGGGGTATGCAACATCTGAATCACAGCCATCGTCACTTCCCTACAATCACAGCTTGGCCTTTGATCCTTCATCATCATATCTGACTGCGAAGCTGTAGGCTGGGTCATAATGCATAGCCCAATACCCGTCCCAGATCTTCTTCGTGACCGGACCAATCTGCCCCCGATTCACAGGCTTCCCATCCAACTCTGTGATGGGCATGATTCCACCCGCTGTCGTGCACATGAAAATTTCATCACACTGATACGCCAACTCGACCGGCAGAGCCTCGAGGTGAACTTGGATCCCACAAGCTCGTGCAACATCAATGACACTTGTCCTGGTGACACCATGTAGCACACCGCGATCAGGCGTATAAATCGCACCGTCCTTGATCAGAACAATATTATAACGGGATCCCTCCGTGAGATGGCCATCTCCATCCGTCAAGAACGGGTACATCGAACCTCGATCCGCAGCCTCGAGCAAATCGAGTCAAGTCACCCCATTGTAAGTTCTTCACGGTAGGGTCGATAGCCCCTGGAAGGACCCGACGAACAGTTCGCATAATAATAGCACTTCCACCGATCCGTTGGACCTCTGGATCCATGACCCAGACATAGGGTTGCACAAGCATGTACAGGTTGTTTACCAGATCCTCCGGCTTGACACCGCGAACGCTCTGCAGTCCCCGCGTCACAATCAGAGCCACATATGCGTCCCGCATACCGCTTTGAGCGACCATACTACCCAGGGTTTTCTTCACTTCATCGCGGGATATAGGCAACTTGAGACGCGGCTTCACGCAGGCCAATTCAAGTCGAGAGAGGTGGTCGTCTAGGCGAAAGAACCGGCCGTCCCAAACGGCGATGACATCGTAGGTCAAATCACTGCGCAGAAAGCCTTGGTCGACTAGGGGGATGCGGGCCTCCCTGAGGGGAACGAGTTGTCCTTCAACCCAGGCGATGCCCTTGGCGTAGGGGTTTTTACTGGCTTCTAGTCTCGCTCGACGAGTGGCGTATCTAGATAGAACGTGGTTCATGGATGTCATGATGCAGTAGGCCGAGGTACAAGGACCGATAGTAGAATTACTGGTCGGGTTTCGTCTTGATGATAGCCAAGAAGTGAGGGACAGCCCCAGGGGGGACGCAAGGTGGCTACGAAGGATGGAGTCGAGACTGACGTGTCTCCAAGGCAGGCTACCACATTAAGTCAGATCGGAGAAGTGTGCCTATCAGGGTGCATAATGCTGTCGGCGAGACACCGATAAGGAGCAAGCAAGCAGCCTTGCCTAGGTACCGGGCGCTCGAACAAGGCTCCCATCGAGCGGGGAATGTCATCCCGGGAGTTCGGGACCGTTGGACTGCTGTCATTCACTACTCCTTGGTTCCTTTGCATACGCATATCTCCCGGTACTATAGTAATGTGGACTATGACCCCTGCGGCTAGAAGGCTACAAGGTTCAAGGAGTATTTTGACGCATACTCATTGTTAAAAGAGGCTTCTATATTTTATATCACCAAAGTCCACTGCCTATTGCTAGGGAGCCAACGAATGCTAGACACACAAGACCTACAAACGATCTGGGTATGTACTACACAATTAATTCAACTCAGATGTTTATATCGAAGTTTTCTGACGCCGAGTGATGCAGAACGCGATCATGATTATCAGCCATGTATTCAGTTTGCTTTTACTACTCCGTTTGTCAATGATTCCCGCTAAGGAGCTACCTATCGGCCGGTCACTCTGGGTTATACCTTTACCTAATCACGGTAGGATTGTCACTACCCCAACCACCGAGTGTGATTCCAAGCGCTCTAGATAAGCATCTTAACCTGGGCAGAGCCAGACAGCTTAGTACCTGAGTTATCACATTCAAGACAAAAGCAGCCTCGGATGACCCGTGGTCGAGTTAGAAATAGCCGCCAGGATCGGGCTATACCGGCCTCAGTCTACGAATGTAGGTCATGTCACCACAGTAGCCTCGCCTCCACTCCTTCTATACGCAACTACAGGGGTATGTCAATCTTGGTCCGCCGTCAGCCTTGTGCCATGCAGCACGGCGCCAACGCAGCCGAGCTTGGTAGGCTCCTCGAGGCCTTTTCCTCCGGCGCTTGTAATACGTAGCAGTATCTCTAAGAATAGATATAGGTTGCAGTCTGGCGTGTGGGCTAGATGCGCTTGAACTCACTTGATAATAGGCCCTTTAATAGTTACTATACACACTAGTGCCTACTCTCCCAAGCATTGAAGCAAGGCTGGGACCCCCTCAAACGCGTATTGACCCGTTCAGCCTAGTCATGTATCTCTAGCCTTTTATCAGGCTGATTCAAGGCGGCTATGTCAGGTTCTCGAGGGGTATCTACTGGATAACAATGAAACTTGCATGTAATTCTAGGGTCCTGATGTCTTAGTAACTATCGGAACGATTGGATATCGAGATACTGACTGGTCATGTCCCATTAGCCGCTGTTTAAGCCGCTGATCGGCCTTAAATGCTATCGTGTTTCGTTTCACGCTCACCTACTAGTTACCAGTAGTGCCTTCTGACATTCTGAGCTTGGTCATCCGAGCAGATTCTTGACTGTATAAAGGGGCGTGTGTTAGTTCTGCTACTCGCAATATACCGTTCTATCATCCAAAGAACATTAAGTTTCAGAACCCTCACACTGCACGTCAAAGAGCGTTGTTCATTTCTGTCGCCTATCCTCTCCATTCTCTTGTCAAACGCGTCCGCCACAATATCAAAAGCACTCGGATCCTTCGTTGGCAAGGCCAAAGTTATCAAGAACGCACCGTCCAAGTTCACCAGCTCAGTTGTGGAGGGCAGCCGAATCATCCCCTTCCAGAAACAAGGATGCTGAGATGCAATTTCGCATTGACGCTGGTCATTACGACGAGAGTACAAAGAAATTGAACGTTGTCTTGCAGGTCAATTCACAGGCAAAGAGTCCTGCGCTCAAGGACTGGATAAAGAAAAACTCAACTCATGGAAAACTCGCGACTGCATCGTATGATACTTCCGCGGCCGACCAACGGGCAGAGTACGAAAGAATGCTTGGGGAGCTTGAGGATAAGGGAAAAGGAAATCTCGGTTAACCGCCAGTGCTAGGTTAGGACCGTCGACATGAGTCCATTTCAGCCTTCATGCAAGAACTCACAGACCAGATTAGAGCCGCGATGAGGTTTGCGAAGGCCGGATGGGCATGGGTTATGTCACGGGGATTTGACCCGCCAAAGCAATGGGCGGCTAGTCCTTTGCTCGCCATTTGCTAGGTTGACCCGTCGGTGTTTTGGCAAGAGGACGGAGGATTAGTCGGACAAATGTTTCGCGAGACATTGAAGTGAGAATCTGGAGACCGAGAATAGCAGCAGGCAGAGTGTTCGCGTAAGAGCTATACAGGTCGAAGATGTTAGCAAAAATGAAAGATAACACAGTGCTGCAACCTACTGGATTATTAGGACACTACTCACAGTACTACTAGTAAAGTAACCTAAGGATAGTACTAACGTTAACGTTAACGTTAGTAGTAAGTACCTTTGCAACTACTAGATACATCACGCCGGCTTTGAATGGTTATCCGACGTCTCATTGGCTGCACGGGACGAGCCATGCTCCACCGGCCTTGCTTTCTCCGTCACCTTCATCCGCCCCTTCGATCGGTTTCCCTTATAGGCGCATGAGATCAAACTCCAACCACTATGGGCGTCGGAGGATAAGAGTGTTCCTTTTCCTCTTCCCCAATCCCTCTGCTTCTCATTCCAACTCGTATCTTAAGTAATATGATACAGCAATTGTTAAGATTGGCTCATGCTACGCGCCGGCGACTACCCCCTTTCTTCCTTTCGACAACAACAGGGCTCGTTAGAAGACACACATTCCGCGTGGCGGATAAGGCATTCTATTCGCACTCAACGGCTACGAGGAAGGGCCGGGTAGAATTGCGGATGTATCATACACCGATGTCTCACGATCACTCGACACCACCAAATCATGGCCGCGATAATCGCAGTGGTGTGCACTTAGATCTCGATCCACATTAATTACACTAGTGGGCGCTGGCTTCGCAATGACGATGAGGAGCGAGCCTCTCGCTACATTCAATTCGATTTTGATGCCCTCCGTCGCAAAGTCCTTACTCTGTCGCCAGGAGCAAGTACTATCACGCAATGTCAAAAATTGGAAGGTGGTTTCAACCGGGTCTTTATTTTCGAACTGGACAATGACAAACGAGTGGTCGCAAGACTTCCGTTTTCGCTGGCTGGTCCGGCACAGCTGACTACCAGTTCTGAGATCGCAACGATCGAATATCGTAAGTTCCTCTCATCATTCTTTCGCTTCACTGGCTTATGGTACACTCTGCTCTTCAGTGCAAGCCAATACTACCGTTCCTATACCCAAGATACTCGACTGGAGCAACGATGCCACGAGCATCGATAATCCCATTGGCAGCGAATACATCATCATGGAGCATGCAACTGGTGTTCAGCTGCACAAGAAGTGGCATAAAATGGACGATAAAAAACGTATCAAGTGTATAGACGCAATCTACCGGAAGCTTAAAGAAGTAGTTAACCTACAGTTTCCGTGCTTTGGGGGTCTGTATTCTTTACACAGTCCCGTAAGCCCCGACAACAAACGTGTGCTTGACGGAGAATTCTGTATTGGACCACATTGTGGAACCAGATACTGGAACTGTGACGTTGGAAGAGGCCAAGCTTCACAAGATACAAAACCCAACCGGGGGCCCTGTGGGTTATCAAAATCAACCCCACGGCTTCAGTACTGGCTAACCAATAACGACTAGGGAATGACCTTTATGAATACTGCGATGGCCTTATTGATGCTGGTCTATCGAGGCTTCCGGCTGTGGACTCGGAAACGAAACGACGACCGATGTATCATGGCTCAGTCGAAACACACAAGATGCTTCTAGCTCAGACGCGAGACCTGATGAGATGCATGTCTCAGGATTCCCGGATAAAGGACTGTGCGACACCAGTATTGTTTCACCCAGACCTTCACAAGAGGAACATATTTGTCTCAGAGGATGATCCTTCTGAAATAACGGCTATCATTGACTGGCAGGCCGCTAGCATTGAGCCGGCGTTTTGGTATGCGGATGAGATTCCCGACTTTGCAACGGAGAATGAGGTCTGCACCAGAGCATTTGATGTCTGCACCCAATTCCTTATACCCACGCTCTCAAAGCCGAGATTGATGGACCAAAATCTATTCCGACCATTTCGCTACAGCTACAGGACGTGGAAGGATGGAGCTGCGGCACTACACCACGACCTGATTGACACATCTCAAAACTGGGAAAAGCTAGGCTTTGCAGGACCATGTCCTTACGCAGTCCCTCCACCGTATGAAGTGGCAGATCATCAGAAGAAGTATAGACTTTTTGAAGCAGCGCATAATCTGCGTTATGATCTGGCAGGCTTGCTCAACACATCCACTGATGGCTGGGTACCAACGGGTGACTGGGAGGCGGCGCAGACAGCGCATCATGAGATGTTTGATGGAATGTTGCAGGCCGTATTGACTAATCCTGAAATCGCCGATCCAGATGAGCCTGTGAAGGATGAAGAGACACTGAGATCCATATGGCCTTTTGATATCTAAGGTTCCACTTCAGTCTGTTTGTCTGGACAATGGAGTCATCCCATAATACCCATCACCTCGCGAAACTATTGAGCACCTATGTCACGGGGCTAAGGAATAGGGGCTTGAGATGATAAATCAGAACTCCCAAAGATGGTTTAGATTCCGCAGTGACAGAATGAGAACCTTCACAGTCACCGGTGGAAGTAGCACCTACCATGAACTCAAATTACAACTTATATGACAAAATTGATCTCGCCTCCTGGGGGCGAGCAGCCCAAGTGGTCAATGCACAGGCTTCCAGAACATTGTTGAAGAAATACATCATGTAGGACAGGCCGGCCGCTTCTGAAGAAATGGATCTACTATTGAACCAAGATCCACCTTATAGTGGGCTAGTTTATTGTCCGCAAATGATCGACATCCCGCGTGTTCCCCCGGTTTGTCGCTGTCAGTAAACTTCGATAGTCGATCGGCTAACTTCTCCGTCAGATGCTCGGCCACGCGTAGACCTCGTATCCATGAGCTAATAACGCCCTTGCTTTCAGGGACCCCCTGATGCCGGTGAGGCGATCTTCTGCCGTTCATACCCTTGATTGTGCTTCACCCAGCGATCCCCTTCTAGTCTCTCCGCATCCGCACCCTCCCTGCATATGTTCCCACTTGCGCCATCCTACCCATGAGGAGTAAATCGGGGGCCTGAGCGGCCCTTGTTGGCCCCATTGTCCTTTGCATCCACTCGCAGATCCTCTTCTCCTCGGACCCTGAGGGTGGCGACCCTGGTCGACGTTCAATAAATCTCCCACTATCCTCCCTCCCCCTCACTACACCATGCCATCTTTGTCAACCATGTGTCCCCCTCACCCATGCTCCTCAAACGCGACAACCCTTCAGGGCGCCTTCTCCCCGACATATACCGAGACTCCCACCAAGTGCACATCTTCACGGCCTTTGCCGCCATCGCCTGCTACAATGCCATTGAACTCATCATCCTCTGTCTCTCGACCTTCAAACGCCGAGGCAGCGTCTACTTCTGGTCCCTCCTCGTTGCCTCCTTAAGCATCTTCCCGCAGTGCGTAGGATATATTCTCCTCTTCTCCCGACCCCAAATCTCGCCCTACGGCTCCGTCACTCTTATCATGATCGGCTGGTGCGGTATGATAACCGGCCACTCACTCGTCCTCTGGTCCCGTCTCCATCTCGTCCTCCAGGACCCTACAATCCTTCGGTATCTACTCCGTCTCATCATCCTGGACGACATCCTCCTCCAAATTCCAATAACGGTCCTCCTATACGGGACCGTCTCCACACACTGGAGACTCTTCAACCACGGATACAACATCATGGAGCGCATCCAGCTCGTCGGCTTCTGTCTCCAAGAAGGTCTCCTCTCCGGTCTGTATGTCTGGGAAGCTGCGAAGCTGCTACGACTTCGGCCTGATGACCGACATCGTCGTATCCTGGCGCAGCTGATTGTGATTAATATTCTGGTCTTGATACTTGATATAGCCGTCGTCGGTATCCAGTACGCGGGCTACTATGCCTTGCAGGTCATGTTCAAGCCTGTCGCTTATAGCATCAAGCTGAAGCTTGAGTATGCGATACTAAGACGGCTGGTGGATGTTGTTAAGAAGGTCAATACCCAGGAGTCATTGAGTACCCAGGGCTTCGATATGCTGCCTTCGTCATCGGAGGGATTGAGACCGAGAATGGAGAATCATGTAGATGGTGGCCCTGGTGGCTTTCTGTACCCTCAGAAGGTGTATACTTCGTCTCGTGGGTCTTAAACTTCGGTCTGTATATAAATATGATAGAATTGAACGGCCGCCTTAGATCAGAGAAGATGCTTCGCATTTGACTTTCTATAGACACTGCATTCACACTCACTGGTGCTCGTCTATCAAGTATGCCTTTTCGCTAAAAGCCCTCCCACTCCATCGAACGCTAACTTCCACACATGATCACACTATCACCCCATATCCGACATGCAAGTCACAATGCAGTGTAAATCAACGCCAATCTCCGTTACCATCAATCCCTGCACCATACCTCCCTTACCACCATCCCGAGCACAAATTCATTCAACAACATGAACCACTCCCCAACCGATGAATCAATCACACCAACTCCCACGGATTAATACTACTATCCCTCATTCTCTCCCTATCCTCCAACTGTCTCACCCTCCTCCTCAACGTCCCCAAATGCATCTCCATCTCCGTAAGAGCGCGTCTCAAAAACGGCGAATCGTCAATCGTCTCCGGACCTAACGGAAAGGGAAGAATACTTCCATCAAGACGAGAAGTACCGGGCGAAGAGGTGGACACTTCACTTCTCTCTAGCTTGATCGTCGGGCCTGAGTCCCGCTCTCCATCACGACTGGTATACCCCACGTCAATACCACTAGGTGTTGGAGTAGTAGCCCTCGGTCGTAGATTGTATGGCCTGTGGCGAGTGGATCCGCGCCCTCTTCCCCTAGCCCTACCTCCACCACGACCAGAAGCAACAGCAGTAGTTAAATATCCCCTTGAAGCAGATGGTGGCGGAGTGGCGAGCCCAGCCTCATCCCCATACCCATCCTCATCCTTAACTCTAACCGGCGTCTCAGGCTCGGGTCCCTCAACCTGCACATCTACCACACACGAACACCCAATTAGCACCCTCCCCAAATCCACCCCCAGAAAGATGAATACTTACTAAAACTACACCCCCTCCTACTAAACCGACACGCCGCACAAGCACCATGCGCACTCATCCCCTCCCTAGTATCGAACCCCACCACGCACGTCTTCCAGACCCCCTTTCCCTCCCTGCAATGGATGCACGGCTCTGGTGGCTCGCATCCGCGTGTCTGTGCGAATGCCGCTGTCAGAGACGCAACGTCCTTCAGTGGTCGACGGAGCGGTTCGTTGGTGGTCTCGTCGATGCGCCATTCGAGGTGTCGGAGGATGGGCAGTTGGTGGTATTCAAGCATTGAGGAGCTGGGGCGGGTGCCGAGGAGGGGGAGGTCGTTGTGGGTTAGGCCGGGGAGGACTGGGACTTTCTAGTTGGTTGGTGGGGATTGGTGGGAGGGGGGAGGGGGGGAAGGGCGTACGCTCTGAGGGGGGGATTTCGACGCGGACGGAGGGGATTGGGCTGGGGGTGTGCTGCTGGTGGGATGGTGGTGAGGTTGAGGGATGGGGTTGGGGTTGGGGCTGGGCGTAGTTGAAGATTCGGAACATGATTGGGGCTGGTTGTGGTGGTTCTTGCATTGGGATTGTAGTTTGGATTTGGGAGTAGAAGGTAGTAAGAGGTTTGATGGAAGGGGAAGTTGAGTTGGAGATGAGTTGGTGAGAGGAGGAGGGTCTTGGGATGGAAGATATGGAAGAGGCTTGATTATGGTAAGGAGTGTGTTACTTGCTAGTAGCATTGGAGCTGTTGTAGGGCTTGCTTTGCTGGTGGTAGTGAGTGGGACTGCAGTGAATGGAATAGTGGTTCTGTGCTGAGAGAATATTCAGCTGTGCTGGGTAAAATAGATTCTGGGGGATATGCGACTTGCCTCTGTTATATAAGAGATAACACTTACATTCGAGTCCGGGATGACACCAGAACTCATCCCGAGGATATTCAGCAGGGGCTGGTTGATTGTATAAGTAATTTCATCTATGCCTTCAACACGGTGTTGGCTAGGAGAGACTACTTATTGGCAGTAGAGGTGGGAAAATCAATTCGGGGATATATTACTGGCCTAAACTAACCCACAAAACCGGGCCAACATCATCCAGAATGTCGAGTTGAAGGAATTAACTGATATCAAGCACCAAAATACATTCCATCCTTCCCATCTACCTCCCCATGCAGCAATTCTCTCAATGCCTCATCAGCACCAACCAGCTCCTCTACCTCCTTCGCAAATCCATCCTTCGCTTCCATCACCTCGTCATCCTTGGCGATCTCCTGATCCGGATCCTCCAGAACCATCCTCAGCAAATAGACCACGCCCTTCAGCTGCTGCTTTAGTTTAATCAACTCTTCCTTTTCACCCTCTTTCCCTCGTTCCGCAGCCTCCTCGTCAGCCACGCTAAGCCAACATGCCGCCACGGCACCTAGAATCCCCCCTCTCCAGCGCCAAATCCTCGGGTGTGCATTCAAAATCACCGCTCTAGTAACAGCCACTCCTGCCAATAGGAGAGGTGGATACGCCGTCCCGAAGGGATTAGACAGCGTACTGTAGATGAGCGGGATGATTTCCTGTAGGTACTTTGTTGTGTAAACTGCGAGATCGAAGATACTATCGTGTATCTTGTCTAATAAAAGAGTAGACAATTTCGGGTGCGGGAACGAGGACAGCGTAGATTGTGTCCCGCTAGAAGGCGTCAGGGTGCTGATGTGGTGGAAAGAAGGGATGAGGTTCTCGCGAAGGACTTTCGTTAGCTCGGTAGTGTAGGTTTGTTTATCGTTGGGTAAATAGCTGGTTTTGAGGAGTAAGAAGAGGGTTGGATAGGCTGTGCTTAGCAAACGGATGGAGTCGGGTTCAGGGGTTATGGTAGGTAGGGAGAGGAGACATGGTTTGATGGCATCGATGAAGACAGAGGAAAGGTTGGTACGCTTCAAAATATCGCATTTGGCTTGCTGAATGGGTTTCAGAAGATAGGTAAGAAGAGTGCAGCCGTCGGTTTTGTTAGGGTTGGTTTCATCGTCAATCAGGGCGAGAATTGGTGGGACGAGGAGGGGGAAGTGGGATTCCAGACGGCTGATGTCTGGCGCCTGGAAGCTGTTAACGACGAATAAATGTGGTACTTTGAGAGGGGATGTACCTGATATTGTCTTAGGATCCAGGCAAAGACGGTCGTCGCGTAGACGTCTGATGATCGCCATGGTTTCGACTCAGGGTCAAGAATGCTGGTATCAAATCTGGGAAGAGGAATGGGGTGCATGTCCTTGCGACCTGCTGCTGTGATGGCGGGGTTCCTGGTCCTTGTGAAGAGGGGCCGAATTGTGTCCTTGAGGATGGTTTCAAGGACAGCCCAGAACGATGCCTCTGGTGTCGGAAGCGATGTTGTGCGAAACCTTTCAAGAATGGCAGTGGACGCCGTGTGTGACTCGGCTGTTGTCCACGGATCTGCATCGGAAGTAAAGCTTGCCAGTGCGAGGATAATGTTTGGCACGTCGGCTGCTTTATGCACTGGAAATAGGGAGTCCAAGGCCGCAATCACCGCTATCGACAATGATGATCTCAGCTTGTCTTCATGCATAAGAGCGTTCTTCTCTTCTGGGCTATGTCAGCGTATTTGAATATGTGAGAGGGGAAAGCCCTCAACTCACCACTGGGCTCTTCCATAGATTCCGCATACACTGCAGATGGTAGGGCATGCCTACTCGCCCAGGCATAGATGTGGTTTGCTGCGGCGACATCAGGCTCTGATAATTCATTGGAGTTCCGAAGTCTCAGGAACTCCCGCGCAAGAAATAGGTCTTCAGTTGCCTGTCGTCCTCAGTTAGCATTGCTGCCTCAGTGCGATATCAAAACGGCTTATCATACAGTTGCATTATCTTTGTCCTCGTGGGCTGAGATGGTGTCCCATAAACGGTCCAATTCTCTAGGGACGACGATATTATCCAGCCGCGAGTCTGGGATGTGCGCATCACCGCGACCTAGGCACTCACGCGCCGCCGTTTGAAACTCTTCCATAGACACGTCTATGTACCTCGCTATCTACAGAAACGTGTTTATTTGTTGAACTGACAGTCAAGATGTCCATAGAAAGGTAGCTTCGGGCCACAGGTGACTCGGAGATCCATTCGCCGTCGACAACCGAATTTCTCGAGCGGTAAGAAACGGGAGCCGAGAAACGGTCCTTACATTACCCAACCAGACATCGTTCTGCTGCAACTTATTACTATATAAGTATAAGCGGTTTCTTTCATTCTTTTTCTCATCTATCAGTAATTCTTACCGTTTCTATCCAAGATCTGTCAAAGAATAAAAGGAAAGAGGAAAGAAAGAACAAACATGACTAATCATTTAACGGAGTATATATTCCTGGGTCTTACCAACTTTACCTGGCCGGTTCAGAATGAATCTTTGCGAAATACCAAATAAGGATACAATCAATACAACTTATGCTCTACTAGATTAAAATGAGGTAGATAATTGCACACTTTATTAACCAGTGACTATCCTATTTATCCGGAACAATGCTAAGACATCTGGTAAACATGTATATCGTGGATTAACACGCCAAACACAAGCAACTGAGAGCAGGATGTCACCCGCTATTTCAGCAAAATCAGCATTGACCTAACACATTGGAACTCTCATAGCATCGCTCCATTAATATAGAATAGACACATGACGCTGCACATGGATGATATGAGGCAGCTTTGTTTGTAATAGGGCTATCAAGTGGGATCCCTTCAGGTGAACAATGCTTCGGGAGGCGCCGTTGCTGAGCCAATACAGTGGCAAACACTAGACATGTAATGAGATGATCAGTGAACTGTCAACCTGTCAGAGTAATGTAGAAAAAATGTCTCATACGTTTTCAGGGTGCCATCACAGGTCCAAGTCTTAGCGTGGACGGTCTCTATGCACTATGGCATACTTCAGTATACATTTCCACGCGATATCGTACTTTGGGGGTATTGAGTACTCACATTCTTCTTACACTGTGAAGGATTGAGCGGACATCCAAAATTGAGTGGCTCTGCTGGGGTTGGATCCTCAGAGGAATACACGCCGCCCACCAACGAACTGGCCACATAGAACAGAAGACTGAGGTAACGCATATCTGCCTGCTTGTGCTCAATATTGCAATGATCGTGTGTATAAATGAGTTGAGCATGGGAGGCTTCGATGTTCAAAAGATATGGGATGAGATATGTATTTGTAGCCTTCATTGCATGATCAAACTGTGGACACAGTCATCATCCCTATTGCACAGGTCATATGTGGGCTCGATTGAGCTGAGGGAATTATCATCATCAGCCAGCCACCATTTCCTAAAGGTTGGTTCATGTGAGCTATTGTAGATGCAGATTGGCCTTGACTACACATGCTGTATTACCCCATACTGCACGATTGAGGTGTTTGAAGTATTATCAGGTGTGTATAGGCTGTGCCATGCCATGGACAGTGGAAGAACGAAAGGCAGCAGTCGATAGATCCGGCATGTACTGCTTGATTCAACACATGAACTAATGCAACTCGTCTGTCTGGGAACATGACCTTAGTTCCCTAGTTCAGATGTCAGGAAAATGCCAACCCTGAAGGAGGGATTGTGGTGGTTGCTACATGGAAGCAATACATCCCCTTCACCCCATGGAGATTTCCGAGCCTTACGCAAGGGACTTTTCGTGCGACTCTTCAATCAATAATACTTGCTGACGATGTCGGGTGGCCGGATTTGAGGATGTGGATGCACAAGCATATGGGATATAAACCACCCAGAAACAACTCACGAGATGTCTGGATTTCTAGCTTGCCACTCGAAACATTCTAGGTATTCATATCCACTCTGCCATGCAGCTAGGGAGAAAGATGGATTGTAAGGCATAGGGTATTTGTTGGATTTGTATTGCTGAGTACCGTCTCCAGACATCCATGTGATCCATGCTAATACTTCCTTACATTAGCTAACTAGTGGACATTGATGTGGTCTATGGATAATGGAGGATCCCTTCCCTGCCTGAGCGATCACCCTTACTCAAATTGGGTGAGGCCTTGCCGTGCGATCCGGCGCAATGAATGTGCGCATTTCGCAGTATTTCACGATCGTCATACTATATGACACAGACCTGCTTTAGATACCAGACCGAGGAAACGTGGGCCGAGAGCTTTGCTTCTATCGTTGCTAGAGGCGCCAAATGAAATCAAGGACGAAGTAGGATTCTCCTTGGATCCTCCCACAAAGCCAAGTATTGTTGAGAGGAGTGATCAACAGTGTGCGTACCCATAGAGCAGCCATGATATTTCTGTTACTATGTTGAGATGCCTAGCTCTTCCTTTCTACGGGACAGCTCTTCTAGCACCTTTTCCTTCTCGGTAACCTCCGGGTGCAACAGCTGCCATTTGATCGACATGTCCAAGGCTTTCGACATCCAAGGACCAGTCTTGCAACCAAGAGCCTTTACAATCTCTCCGCCGTTGGCGAGTGGCTTCAGTTCAAACACATCCTGTAGGTCTTGCTCTTTGATGTAGGAGAGGAAGCGGTCGTACGATTCCAGAACTGCCATCACGTAAGCATCAGTTTCTTATAAAGACAATGGGCATGGAGGAATCCTTACCGCTGGTAAACTCGCCGCCACGCATAATCTCTTGGAGTATGGAAAGAAGTATACAGAGCCTCCAGTCCTTCTTCCATGAGCGAATGTGCAGTCCGACCTGCTGCCGCACCTCTGCTGCAGTTCCATCCATGCGTCCCCCGAGGACAGCGTTCTTGATGTCGGTAATGGCCTGCCAATTATGTGCCGCATCGCCAATGACGGCGATTGTCTTGTTATCAGCTCGCAAACTGTCTCGAGCTACTTCCGCGGTCCGGGCCGGGAGAGGTTTCGCCTTGGGTCCCCTCGCAACGCGGGTTGGCACACTTGACCATGGAGCAAATGCTGCAATCATCCACGCGTAGTAGGATTCAAGTTTGTCGCGTACGAGGAAATCACGGACATTTTTGGTAGTCATGGGGTCGTCATCATGGGGTTTCAGGATCCTCCCCAGCGCATTGTATGCAAGTGCCCATGACGAGGTATCTGCTTGCGCATCATCCTGGTGGTTGGCGAAAATAGTCGGGTATAGTCCAAGGTGGTCAATGAATTGCAGTGCACCGCGGGGATCAGGACCTGGAAACTGTGAGCCACCATCAATGCTGACTTGGACGTTACAAACCTTGAAGCATCTTTTCCAGCTCCTTGCCCACCCGTTCTCTGCTAATCTTCAGCTTGAGAGCCTCCCCGATAAGTTCATTTCGCATTGCCTCCTGAGTCTCCTCTTCGATATTGTAACCCAGCCGGCTAGCAAAGCGAATCAAGCGCAACACACGCAATGGGTCATCCTGAAAGGTTTGATATGGTTCCATCGGGGTACGAATGATCCTCTTCTGCATATCCTCCAGACCTCTTTCAGTCAAATCCTCAACCTTGGACTCGTTCAGGTTATAAAAAAGCGCATTGATCGTTGCATCGCGGCGCATCGCGTCTTCCTGGGCTGTGCCAAATTCCATCTGCGGGTTTCGGCTGTCTTCCGAGTAGGTCTCCTTTCGTAAGTTCACGAGATCAATATCCAAGCCGAATATCCTTGTTGTCACTGTCTCCAGGTGTTTGGACTTCTCCGGGTTCGCCTCGATTTTATGTAGGCTGGCAATTGCATGTTTCAACTCTCCATTGGGCTGCTTCTGTCGGTACTTCTCCAAGTTTTCCGGTCTATCCATATATTCCTTGAGGAGTAAACCAAACTGATACCCAGTCATGTTGTTGATACCGACGTCCACATCGTTGCTGCCCACGCCTAAGAGCTTGTCCCGCACCCATCCTCCGGTAAATCGCAGAACCGTAGGCTCTATATCGCGGCGGCCTTCTGAAATATTCTTCTCGTGTATGTATTCTGCGACATCGAGTAAGAGCGATTTTAATGTCGATTCAAGAGCGGTGAGTTCAATGGTGGGAACGGTATTCGCGGATTGAGTCATGGTGTCTCCTGCAGCGCCCTGATGCGGGGCAGCTTCAGGTATGCGCCGTCTTTTGTTTGTTCGCTGAGGGGAGAGGCTGGAGGATCTCCGACGGCTCATGGAAGAGCTGTGCGGTACAGATGTAGACCGGAGGGTATTTATACAAGCACGGGGTATCAACGGGGAGATTCTGCGAAGAAGAAGAAATCCAATTGCGGCGGAAGCATCAGTTGGCGGAGAGAGAGGAACGGTCAGGCGGAGTAGGCGGCGCTTGGAAGGCAAGGAGGAGAGGGATGTTCTGAGCATGGGTAGCAGCCATCCCAGGATGAGTCAAATGGGCTGACGGATTGAATGTACTCTATTGAGTCATGAGATGGTCAGCCTTGTGTTCCCGATTACAAGCAGAGCGCATCGCAGGAAGAGAGTGGAGGGGATCAACAGCAGCGCCTGAACAATCAATTAATTGCCCGGCAGATCAAGTGGAGGATCATCACCGCCTTCCGAGCCGTCAACAACAACTCAATCCATTAAACTAACAATGAAGCTTGTCGCAGCTCTCCGTTCGATAACAATCCACTGGAAAGCCAGTCTGCTTTCCTGGATCACCTCGGAATTTATATATTCTGAAAAGCAGTTGTCAAAAGAGTACCTCGCCACCGTCCTGACCCCCGACATTAGCTGCCGTGAGGGACGCATTAGCCCCAACGGAGCTGCTCGCCCGACTTGCGCTCTGGGATTCGCCCGCGGTGACTTGGCTTCAACGCATCCTTACAACATTGCCGGATTCCTCCCGCCATTCCCTTTCTCCTGACAATTCGCCCCGAACCTCATCACACCACATCACTCCCTCTTTTCGTCACTCTTCCGTGGGATCACTCCCCACCCGGTCCATGGGCTCTAGGGTCAAATTCTACTCTTGTTAACAGCGCATCCCACGCAACTCGGAGTCCATGACATCGCCCGGAGATGCGGCTCCGGTCAAGCCTCCGCCGTCGTTCTCGCCCGGCGTTCCACGTATCGCATCCAAGTCGAGATATCCGAATCAGCGCCGCGACTCGTCATCGACCCTTGATGCAGACCTGGTAGACTCGAGGATCCGCTCTCCGACTCCGCCCCTGACGGCCACGACCGCAGAACTTCCGATTAGGTCCGCATCGCCTCGTGCTCCTTCTTTCCGATCGTCGACTCCACAATTAGCCCGATCATCCCTGGGATCCCCGGTAGAAGGTCGTTTCGATGGCGCGGAGGAAATTCGTTCTCTAATCATACGCTCGTTCTCCCCGGTGGTTGGAGTCTATGCATCAGCGGACACCGATGAGTTGGTACGACACAAAGGCTTCGCTGGTGGTTTCTGGGAGTTGGTTCGCCCTTTCGGCGAGAATGTGCCCGGAAAGTTGGTCATAAGGGACAGCGTGGGGTCGAGTCGTGGCTGGGAAGACTACGGGGTGCGCTTCGTGAACTTGGCCAGCAACAGCCCGCCCCCTACCAATTCGAGCTCAGGGCGAAACCCCTCCCTGGCACAGGTGGAAGAGGTCTTGGAGAAGCAATTGGGCACGACAGATGATCCGCTGGGCGGATCAATGCGCCCCAGAGATTTCTTGAATTTTCCTACAACATCCCCTCTATACAAAGTATTTCTTCGACACCTTCTATCGATATCCTCGGCCACGCCACATGAAACATTTCGACATCCAGTGGCCAGCGTCATTGCTATTAGCTCACGCAATACTGCCCCGCTTGAAACTCTCAGACAATTGTATGCGGATACGAGCAATGGGCCCAGGAGGTTGCCAGATTGGTGTAACTCTGAATACCTCCGGTACTACGTTCTCGTTCATGACGAGGATCGGGATGACATTGCCGAATCAACCAAGCTGTACGACCAAATGAAGCGTCATTTCGGGTTACATTGCCACTTGTTGAGGCTGCGCAGCAATCAGTGCGTGGTCACCGATGATGACAGTGTTCAAGTTCCTGAATGCGAATGGCTCTCGCCTACTGAGCGACTTTCGGGTGGAGCTGGTATGACTAGACCCCTGCATCTACAATACTGCACTTACTGACGATCAATAGAGCCCTTGGTTGACCTGGATAATAATGGTCTTTACCTTTTCGACTCGGATATTATGGCAATCAAGGCCTTTATCCGAGAGCTGGTTGCGCAGTCCGTCATACCATTCATGGAAAACCGAGTCGCTGTTTGGAATGACCAGGTGGCCTCCCGTAGGCGTGGTATCAGTGGCCGATTCATGTCCATGTCACGGAGATGGGCGGGGTTCGGAACTGGCTCTCGTTCCAGCCTCACATCGGGGGGAGCCAGCGGAAACTACGATGTCGCTCACGGTTACTATAGACCAGACACGCCTGAAGCCCTTCTGCGTAAAATGGCTGACTTCGCGTTCATGCTCCGAGACTGGAAGTTATCAGCATCCACGTATGAGCTTCTTCGGTCGGACTATGCGAACGACAAGGCTTGGAAATACCATGCGGGTGCCTACGAGATGTGCGCCGTAAGCATGCTTCTCAATCCGGCCGCAATGGGGACCAAGATGAAGCTCGACGGAATCGATCAGATGTTCGACACGGCATGTTATTCCTATCTTACACGGTGCTCAGACGCACCTGATGCACTTCGTTGCCTCACTTTAGCCATGGAATTGTTGAAGTCTCGTGGAGGTTCGGCAGTGGAAAGCGCCGCTCGATGGGCCATGCGGGCCATGGACCTTGGGCTTGTGGGATCCATCGGCCAGGGCCTTTTCAGCGAGCGTGTGTCGGCATGCTATGCGGCGAGGTCACCGGTGAGCGGAATGAAATGGGGCTCTCGACGTCGGAAGGCTGGAATGTGGAGTGTGTTTGCCGCCGATATGTGGCTTCGTCTGGGGAAACCGTCACTAGCATCGGCTGCTCTCGAGGAGGCGGAGCGACTATATGCAGATGTATTGGATGGCGATGGGGGATTTCCAATGCCCGAGATGCAGACGTTCGTTGACAACCTAAGACACGCCGTCAAGGTCGAGTACTTAGAAGCCCGAGGGCTAGACACAAGGGACGAAGCAGCCACTGCCGAAGCACTGGGCACGGAAGAGACCAGCGAGAAGCTGGACCGGCGCATGAATCGCAAATCTTTGATCTCGAATCCGCTGGATTCGGGCGGTCTTGGTCCGGCGCAAGGCACGAGAGATGATGACAATGCAGCCAATGACGACTTCGAACGAGCTTAGGGACGCAATTATGGTGCGACGGGCGCATAGGTTTATACAATATCATAGACATGTGTCAATTAATGTTTCTCTACGTGTTTATGCTTAGATTGGATTCCACTATCTCTATAGTCCTAACATATCCGTAGTCATCAGAGGGTAGATCCTTTCCGCCTTACAGACCGCTTAACCCGGCAGAACCTAGCGAACCTCGCTCTTAAAACCTCGGATTTAAGCGGATTTAAGAACATACAGTCCCCAAAAAAAGGCTCCGAAATCTGTTGAAAATTGGGCGGTGGCAGAAAATGATCGTCCGCTGCAGCAGAACCACCGCACATGATCACCTCTTATCGATAAGATGACCTCCCCGACAACCAACGCTAAGGACGAAGTGGCCCATTTATTGACATCAGATAGACATCCCGATACTACCTCAGTAGCACCACGCACGCACGGGGGCTATCCAGCCTACACCGACGGGGTGTACAGTTCCTTCATTGCGACTACATAATATATACCACATTTAGACATTACATCTCTTTTCTCACTGTCTCACTTTACATACTCATCTGCCGTTCGCCATAACAACCACAATGACGACCCTCCTTCAATACATCCTCTCGCAGGATTCCTTCAGAAAGTCAGTCTTTGCCCCGCTTTGACCTCCTCTCTAGCCACTTTTACTGACATATTATCTCCTGTTCGTTCCAGAAACCGCCTCCCCTCCCTCTACTCCGACTTCCCCATCCACCGCAAGACCAACCCCGAGGGATACACCACCAACATCGCAGCCTGGGAACATGCCTTAACCTCAGCCGCAAAGCACGGCTACATCGCTCCACATGGGCCCGCCACGAAGGGCAAAGCGAACCACTTGATCCTCCGAGCTGACGAGTCCTTGTTACGTGATCTGGAGATTCCGGAGTGTGGACGGCCTGTCGCACTGGGTGCCGTCTTTGTATGTTACAACCATATACAGGTTATGAGGAAAAGGGTGTGTACAGTGACTAATGATCGCTCCGCGTGATGTAGGACGAAGCGACGAGGAATCGAACCATGGTGCCTCTGCACCTTTATCGGACTAATCCGGCGAGTTTGCGCAAGCCGCAGTGGGGGATTGATACGTCTGTGTTAAGTCCATGGGCTGTCATGAGCTGGGGAATGAAGCAGTTGAAGGGCGTTGTGATTGGAGGCGAGGAGGCGACGCCGAGGTTACAGCCTCAGGAGTTGGTTCTGGTGGAGAACTTGAAGGTAGGTTGCGTTGACTTGGGTTCGGTTCGTGGTTGGAATGGGTAGGACTAATGAGGTGTGCTTATAGGAGGCTGCGGACCGTGTAGTCAAGGACGCCACGGCGAATAGTCCGTCAAAAACGGACCTGGTCTATTCTAAGGAAAGCTTCGTGAACGAGTTCGCGGGTGTTTTGGATGAAGGGAGTCGCCTGTCGGACGCGGATATGGACGTGCTGTTACTGTATATGTCCCGTGATAGCGGTGCTATTGCGTACGATGGCAAGGTATGTGTCTTTATTCCTATGTCTCAGTGTTTTATCTATACCATGTAGGATGCTAATTATGTTGCAGACCATCAAATTCAGAACCAGTGACGCTCCAAAAGATATCACAGAGCAAGATACCGCCGTCGCCTCTATCAAAACGCTCATGGCGACTATGGCCAAGCAGGTGGAAAACCTGGAGAATAAAATCACTGAGCTTAATGCGACTGCCAAAATGGCTCTGCAAAACAAGAACCGCGTTTCTGCGCTCTCGGCTGTGCGCTCTAAGAAGCTCGCGGAGCATAATCTGAAACAGAGACTGGATACCC